ACCCCACAGCCTTTTCACTGCTACGTGGGCAGCTGACTCCAGGTCTGGCAGTATGTGCTTGCAAGGCCAGCCCGGTGGCCAGGCTTCACTCTTCTCAAGGGACGTCCATGTATCTTTAAGTGGAAATCTAAGAGGGCCCAAGATGGCAGTGGATAAGTGGAAGCTACACTAACCTCCTCCCAGGACCAATTTGGAATCACAACTAAATTGTAAAGGGGTAATTCTGAAAAACCACCTGAACACTAGTTGGAGAGAAGCCTTATAACCAAGAACAGACAGAAGAAACCACTTCACCACAACATGGCTGGTAGGGAGTATGGAGGAGGTATGAGAGGGCTGGCAGGGTTCCCCTGGGCGGCAGTTGAAGTTCCCAAGGGATATTTCAGCATACGTGTTCCCCGTGAGAAGTGTGGGATCTTAACCCAAAGCTGGGCTCCCCAGCCTATAGCATCAGAGCCAGGAAGGGAACCCAGATAATACCCACTTGTGAAAAACAGCGGGGTTTCTGTCCACCAGGGAGAGATGGCAGGAGACACAGAGAGCCTCTTAAAGGACCAAGACACAAAAATCTCTTTTCAGACACTTACCCTGCACTCCAGCAGAAGGAGGGCAGAGAGGATCAAAGAAGCGTTAGAAGAATCTGAGGATGGTGGCTCTGGAGAGAGAACTGAAGGAACAGCCACCAGGATCCCTGTGCAGTGTCATTCCCCGTATTGTAGAAGACATCTTTAGCAGGCAGAGCACTCCCCTCCAAGTGGCATCAGCCTGAAGGGAAGCAATAGACCCGCCCACAGGAATTACTCTGCCCCACCCTGCTGAGCTTAAACTGGGCGGCAGAGTACAGCTTGAGGCTATATTACTCATTAAGTTAAACAACTAAGGCAGATAGATCTCTTGGAGCTCTGAGTCTTTATCTGAGCCTGCCACAGGCCTAGTGCTTAGTAAAAGCTGGCCTTGGTATGCAACCTGGTTCTTTCTGCACACAAACAGGCCCAGAAGAGGAAGCTACATGGTGTGGATCACTGACAGCTCCAAACAGGTTGCTCAGGGCCAGTAATAACCAGCATTTGGCAAAGGTCTGCACCAGAGTTTTGCCGATCTGCCTAATACATAGAAACAAATAAAAAGAAGCAGACCTCAAATAAAAGAACAAGAGAATACTCCAGCAGAAGAACCAGATGAAATGGAGGCAAGCAATTTGTCAGAGAGAGAGAGTTAAGAGTAATGATTATAAGGATACTCAATAGCATGAAAAAAGACAGAAATTATAAAAAAAGGACCAGCTTTATTAAAAAGCTTTTTTATTAAGCTTTTTTTTTAATAAAGAATGCAGTATCTGAAATAAATAATACATTGGAAAGAATCTGCAGTAGGTTAGATGAAGCAGATGATCGAATCGGTGATTTGGGGGGAAAAAGGTAATAAAAAACACCCAGGCAGCGCAGAGAAAAGAAAAAAGAATTTAAAAAAAAAAAATGAGAACTTAAGAAACAGATTGAACAACATGAAGCACAACAACATCCACATCATGGGAATATCACGAGGAGAAGAGAGTGAGCAAGGGATCAAGAACCTATTTGAAGAAATAATGACTGAAAACTTCCCTAATCTGGTGAAGCAAAAAAACACACAAGCCCAGGAAATTCAGAGTCCCAAACAGGTTGTTGGACCCAAAGAGGCTTACACCCCGATACATAATAATTAAGATGACAAGGCTTAAAGTAAAGAGGAGAATCCCAAAAGCCACAAGAACAAAGCAGGTAGTTACATAAAAGGGAGCATCAATTAGACTATCATCTGATTCTTCAACAACAATTGCATCATGGGAATACCACAAGGAGAAGAGAGTGAGAAAATGACAGAGAACTTATTTGAAGAAATAATGACCAAAATTCAATAGAATAGAACATATACTATGAGCCCATTTTTATTTTAAAAACAGGTATAAGAAGTTTGGAAGAAAAATCAAAATGTCAACATTGTTTACCTTTACGAAATGAAATAACTGGTTTTTAAAAAAAATTTTTCTCTTTATATCATCTGTTTTTAAATACTAAACACATATTACTATTTATAATAATAATAATAAAGCTATTTCTTTTAAAAAATCAAGTATTTTAGCTCACAAGTTTATAAATTCAAAAGCTAAAATGACAGCTCTTTGTGTACCCTCATTGCAACTATAATATCCAACCATCAACTGAGAACAGAAATAAAAAGTAAACCTGAAACTAAAAGTTAAATTAAAATATACAAAGAATCACAACTTACCAGGAACAGAAGCCCACCATTAGAGCCACCAAAGTGGTAGGAACATTTAAAAGGTAATTGACTAATTTTGGGGAACTGATCTTTAGACTAACTTGAAAGAGAAAATCTCCTGAAGATCTGGTCTTGGAGTGGAGTGGAGGTCACATTTTCTTCAGTTTTAACTCCAAAAATGCCACCAGGTCCTTAGGGTGAATATTGGTAAAAAAATCCCCACTTGCTTCCAGCAGAGAGAGGAGGAAAGTAATCATTTTTAAGTACCCTCAAAGCATTCTGCCCTCAAGAAAAACTATTTACCAAAGCCTAAACAATCTGAGGGAAGAGAAAAAACCAACACTATATTTTTTTTGTCTTTCTTAAGGAGCAGGAGGGTGGAAAGAGAAAGCTGAGAAGTAGTTGTGAAGGTCATAGCCCAGGATTTGGAAAACAAATCACTAAAAGACTGAGTCCTCCTCTGATTCTTTCCCACCCCCCATCCCCATCTTACATCATCACGTCAATAGAGCTCCTATATAATAACAGAAGAATACAATTGAAAGAAAAACGTGGCTCAAACCTTAAATAACAAGTCTTTCGGGAAATTCTGACATAACAGAGGAGAAAAAAACAACACTGGAGGAAATTTTAGTTTCTGACACCTACAGCTACAGGAAATAAGCACAACCTGACTCAAACAAATCTCACCTTAAGGGCCTATTTGCTTCAGTTCCTAATCCTTTTACTGAATGCATCCTGTAGAGTTTTCAAAACACACTACAAAGGCATACTAAAAGGCAAAAAGCACAGTCTGAAGAAAAAAAGCAAGTATCTGAATCGAACTCAGAGCAGAGATTTGGGACTTACAAGCCCAGAAATATTTTAAGTTTAAAGGGAGAATAGAAGATAGTGGTTTGAACAACTAAAACTATAAAATCAACCTCTAGAAGATAAGTCATTATTTTTAACTCCAAAAATAAATATTTAATAAATTTATCAGTAGTTAAGTCATATAGGCCTGCTTGTAAGTTACATTTGCATACCTCTCCCTCTGAAATATTTCTTCTAAGTTCCCAATACCAGGATAAACTCTTCTAATACCCTGGTTAGGATAGTTGTATAGCAATAATGCAACAGAGCACATCCAGGGCCCCCCGACAAAGGGTATTTTTAACGGGGTCCAGAGATTGGGGTGTCCAAAAAAATATATTCTCCCCACCCCAGGGCGAGCAGCCATGGGGGATGGGAGCCTTGAGCAGGGTCAGTGAGAGTCATTTTGCATGTCAATAACAGGATAGCTTCATTCCTCAAATGCAAAAAGGGTTATTTTGCATATCAAGGCTAATCAGGAAGGTTTAAAAGACTTAAGACAGAATGTAACTGGGAGAGGGAGGAGGAGAGACAGGGGCCTGCAGGACAGACAAAGAGACACACACTCTGGGGAACAGTGTGAAGACCGTGCGGGAAGAAAGAGGGGAGAAAGGACTCTTGCTAGTGGGCCAGGAGAAAGTGCCACATGGTTACGGATTAAGAGCTGGAGATCACAGCGATGCAGCGGATGGTGCTGAGAACTGCAAGAGGCCTGCCTAGCTGAGCCCCGGACTTCTGTTCTTTTTTTTTCTGAAGGACGGTACCCCGGACAGGCCTGACTGGTCTAACTGGGCAAAGGGGAGAAGGCAGGACTGAGTGTGTACTGGTGATTGTTTTAAAGGGATTTTGAGATTTAAGAGTGACGTTAATCAAACCTGTATAACTTTTGAATAAATAGTTCCTTTCCTTTTCACCAAACTCTGCCTTTCAGAACTGTGATTCCAAGGGCGGTGGGCAAAGGACCCCGGGGAAGGGGAGGGGTTGTTGTTTTGGTAATAGCATCTGGGCAACCCCCGCATGGGTCCATTTGTTCCGTAACAATATTGGAAATGATGCTGTGAGCTGCCCCAAGTTCAAGAAGCAAAAGAATGTAAAAGTGAAAGATCTTCTCATTACAGACAATTTTTAAGTTAAAAAGTGTGTTCAAAAGAGCAAGTGATTTGCAGTTACACAACTCAGAATAGAGCCATAAGGAGGGCATTCAGTTCTCTGAATGGTACCCTCATTTCATTATGCTACAGATGATAAAATATTTAAAATGTCATCCAATTTAGTAATAAAATGTTCCTAAAGAGGCCATTCAATGTATAAATATTATAATAATTTTTTTAGGATAGAGTTCCCCTCTCTTTTTATAATAACAGATTTTATTTTGCCCATCCCTCCAAATTTTTAAATCCATAAACGAGAAAAGGCATTCATTTAACTTTTTTTAATATCTGGATTTTTTTGGTATTGTTTTGTGTTTTAATAGTACATACTTGTTATAAAATTATTTCAAATACTAAGACAGATATAAATCTCATTTCTTTTATCCTAGCCATACTTCTACCCAAATCTCCAAGACCTTTTGTTTTTATTTTGCACAAATGGACTGTCATACTATACAATTTGACAACCTAAAGACATAATTTTAGTCCATAAATTCAATCTTAATTTTATATGCTACCACTGGATTAAAAAAATAGTACTATGATACTTTTAACACTGTCTTCTACATATTCTTTCAATATCAACAATTTTGGTTTCATATGAATATAGTCCTACAATCAGTGGTTGATTGGCTTAAGATGCTAAAATAGTCCAGCTTTAATTTGCCCTAGTAGGCTGCTTGACTTAAATTGATCCTCTAACTCAGTCAGTTAAATAAGCATAAGTAAAATTACCTGTTTCGTCATGATAGTTCACGGCTTCTGTCTCCATCCATGCATTATCAGTGTTTCGAGGATCATCAACATATCCTTTATATATCTATTTTTAAAGCAGGCAGACAAAGAAAAAATGTGTAGGGTAAAACAGGAACAGGTAGAATAGAAGCATATTACCTTCATTAGAACCAGCAATGTAAATATCTTGTTTCAAAGAAATGTGCATATAATTAACATAACTATACACTTAAAATGATTAAAATGGTAAATTATATGTTTTTTACCACCTTAAAAAAAGAAATATAAATACCATAACACCTTTAACATAGCATTCCTTACGGTTATTTTAAATTTCCCAAGAAGCAATATTCTCAAGAACCTTTGAGGCAACACTGAAATTCACAAAACCCAATACCTCAGACTCTAACTTCAGAATTTAATAATAATAGTACTTGCAAGTCACAAGTATTCATTACATAATAAGAAGAGGTTGCATTTAGTGATTATATCATCTGCTGAAAAGTCTGCAAAAGTCCTGCGTGGTATGAATTAAGAGTGTTCATACACTTCACTATAGGTTTTACACAATAAAAAGGAGAATGAAGACTCCAAGTTGACTGTTCTAGACACATTTTCCTCATAGGTTCTTTAGAAACTTTTAGGTTACATGTCATGTAATAGACTGTACATGCATGCCTTAGTTTGAATGTTTCTCCATTTGAAAAAATACATTTCTGAGTACAGTGGAAATAATAGTAATACTTGGGCTAGGTGGGTTTTTTTGAAGTCTATAATTTAAGTATTCTTCTGTTTTAATAATTTCTGTGACTATCATTTCAGACATACAAAGATAGATTCTTCTAGTTAAACAAAGGAGATCTATAAAGTTAGTAAAAACTAATATTTAAGCTATTAATTCATGAACACATTTGAATCAAGACATCTAACACAAATGTAACCAAAAAACTAGACAATACAAATAAATAAGGAAGAGATCCTAACTCTAGAAAGAAAACGAAGCAATGCACAACAGTGTGGTCACTGCGGTGGGATGAACACTAAGTGGAGGTGAAAGAGTGTATAAGGGGGATAAATGGTAACGGAAAAATATATAATAAAAATAAATTTTGAAAAATTAAATATATAAATGTGAAAGAAAAAGCAATCCAAACAAAATCAACAAAAAAGAAAAGAAAATTTGTCCTTTTCCTTATTATTAGTAGATCAATACATGTATCGTATTAGGTGCTTTTTAAATATTAACAAAAGTATGTAGACAACACAGAAATGAGATTTAAATGTTTACAAACCAGAGAACCTCTGAATAACTTAATTTCAAATGTAAGTGTTCTTTCAAAAGAGCTGAATTCATGCAAAAAAAAATTTTTTAAGGTTTCTGTTGGATGGGTGAGCTCAGTGTCACAGAGCTCACACCCAGTCTTAAAAAAAAAAAAAAAACCAAGCAGAAAAAAATGTATTATAATAAATTATGTAATTGACCTAAAGTGGGGTTATAAACCTTGAAGTAGAAATCTATTTACAGTGAACATCTACAATTTAAGTTGTTTTCATGAATATGTATTTACAAATATAAAAGATTTCATTTTATTCACAGAATAATCTACCAGATTTCCAGGTGAACTTTAAGCAATTCTTACTAATGCACAGACCTAAATCCTTCCTAGGAACCATCATTTCTTACCACTAGATGTTCCTGGCTGAAGAGTTTGTGCAACTGTTCCTCCAATTTTCTCTTTTCAGCACTGGATTTCTGTAAGGAGTTGAGAGCTTCCTCACCAAATTCTCTTTTCAGTGTAGCACTGATCTTCTCCCCAGGATCCACCATCCCCTAAAAGTCACATTTTTGTTTAAAAAAAAAAAAACAAGCTTTTAATTCATTCAACAGATATTTACCAAGCGATCCAGTGGACGGTTACTGTTCTATCCTTTCATAATCATGATCCCCATTTTTCTGTCATATATTCTTCTCTAAACCATTTATTTCTATGAGAAGCAGCCTATCAGGTATCTCACTGATATCTGACCACAGTAATTGGTCCAGTAAGCCTATGGTAAACTGAGACAATTAGATTCCTTTCCGGTGAAGGAAGGAACTCCTGGAGGCAAGAAAGAATACAAAAAGTTGATATTTTCCCCATTGCTCGTTCTAGTCCAGCCACACTGACCTCCTCAATGTTCCTAAAATGGCCAGACATGCTCCCAGCTTAGGGCCCTTGCACCTGCTATTACTTCTGTCCAAGATGCTTTTCTCCAGATATCTACATAATTCACTCATTCATCTCCTTCAGATCCTTACTCAAATGTTTCTTTCCCAGGGAGACCTTGTCTAACCATCCCTGTCTAAAACGGCAAACTCTCAAAGACTTTCTAGTCCCCTTCCTTAATAATTATCACCTTCTACCGTGTAATTATTTATTTGTATTATCTGTCTCCCCCACTGTAATATGAGCATCAAGATATAGGGATGTTTGTTCACATTGCTGTTGTATCCTCAATGTCCAAATTATCGGCTGACAAAATATATTGATTAGATGAATGACGCTCAAAATATCAGAAATAAAGAGTTCCCTGAATGATCAGAACTTTGAATGACAATAAAAATATAAAATCCTATGATGAAATCATTATTACATTTTACACTCAGCATGAGTGAAGTCTGACTGCTTGTCTCATAATAATTAGCCTAGGCTTTATCACAGTCAGCTGAGATATTCATTTCATTCCACTGTTATTTTACAAAGAAAAATACATTCTTGCAGATAGTAGTATGTGTATAAAAAGTCATCCTCTTGTCAAAATATCTCCATTTCACAATATGGCATTAAATATAAAACCCTCTGCCACACACATACATATTTTTAAAAGCCACTTAAAATACATATATACCACTGACATGATTCAAGAAAAGTACACTCTTCCTGATATTATGGAAATTTTAAAAACTACAAGAAATAGTAAGTAATAAAAGTTATCTATTTTATCATGTCTGAAGTTATCAGAATTCAACAAAAAATGCTAAAAATATTACCTTTGGCTTAGGGTAGGAGCTGATTACTGAGACAGGACCCAACATAATGAGTACCTACATTATTCCAGCTGCTTTATATGCTATCTCTAATAATCCTATGAAATAGATATGATTCTCTTTACTGTAAAGATGAGGGTCAGAACTCCGTATGACTCTGCTGAATGCGGAAAGGCCCAGATAGGGACCTGGGTCTAACTCCAAAATCCATGTTCTTTCCCAAGAGTTTGAGATTGTGACTCAGATTCTAACAGCCTTGTATTATCCTACAGTTTTTATTGATAGTGACATGTTATTGCAGTGATGAAAGACAAAAGAATTATGAAGTTGGGAGGAAAGGAGGATAAATGGAGCAGAATAGATCCATACACAATAATATTGTGGTAAATAAAGCAACTAAAAAGAACCTAAAACATTAATTTGATTTAATTTTAATGCTCACCCCTGGGATTGCCCATTCTCCACAGTCTTTCCTTTTGATTGCAACAAACTGTAAGATGTTTTTCCCAGAAATGGGGTGGGTGATTTTATTTCCACTTTTATCCCTTTTCCACCTGTAAACAGTAATGTAAGATCATAACCAATTTAGAACACAGACCAAGTTCTATCTCAAGCTTGAGTCAAAGTTATAAAGATGTATCTTTCTTTATCACAGGGTACATATAAATTTACCTAAAATAAGCTGCTTTTACCAAAAAAAAAGTTCTGTATTACAAATATGTCTCTTTTCCATAAAAGATATTGTAGTCTCCATAATAAAAATTCATAATATATTTTTTACAGTTTTTAAATACAACCAAGTAAGTTTAAAAACAGGACAGAATTTAAAGGGTCACAATAGTTGTTTTTGTGGGTTTTTTTTAAAAGTCCACAGATCCTTTTTAAGAATTAAGGCAGTGTAACAGATCTGGTAATATTTGCTCTAAACAGTTCATTCTTTTTTATCAGAAAAGCAGATTATATAGATACAGGTACAGCTGTTCTCAAAAGTAGTGCTTCTCAATTTTTATGCCCTTTTTTGATTAAAAATATCTCACTCTATACTTAGTTTACTTTTAAATTTTGAATTAAATCACACATAGTTTTTTTAAAAAGTATCAAGGTGATGTTAACTTCAGAATGCACTTTTTTCTAACCACACATCCACTTTCCCAGAGATGTTGAGAAATCTCCCCTTCCCTTCCCTACTCCCACCACATTTACCTCCCTCCATCAAATTTTAAGTATTGTTCTAATAACTCTCTTAGGCAAAGATAAAGATTTCCAACTTCCAATTCTGAACTAAAAAAGAAAGCCTATGATCTAAACACTGATCTGCAGGAGACTCGAAAAAATAAACTAGTTTAGATATGAGTTTCCAAATTTCTTCATATCGTGGCTGACTACCATACCTAACCCATAATTCCTCCCCTGGGAGAGCTTATGATCTAGCAATGGAGCTAGACATGTAAGTGAACAAATTATAAGCTGCAGTGACAGTTTGTTAAGTACAGTAACTAGAAATGAAAGAATAGTTAGTACAAGAAGACAACATCTGGACTTCGGTCATGATGAAGGGAGACACAGACAAACGTGACTCGCCTCATCACATGACCACATCAAAACTACAGCTAAACTATAGAACAATCATTGTTCAGAACCATCAGAAATTGAGTTGAATGGAAGTCCGACAACTATAGAACTAAAGAAATCACATCCACCCAGGCTGGTAGGAGGGACAGAGATGTGGCAACGCTGAATAGGCTGGTTCAACACTGAACACTCTGGGGTGGTGAATAAAAATTACGGAGGAGTATCTCAGGAGTGAGGAGTCCCAGCCCCACACCAGGCCCCAGGGTTCCAGTGCCAGGAAGGTAAGTCCTCATAACTTCTGCCTGCAAAAACCAGTGAGGATTGAGTCAGCGGAAGAAACTTCTGAAGTCCCAAGCAGTTCCACTTTAAGAACTAGCACACGAACTTACTCAGACTCTGAGCTCCCTCTGAGCTCCAGCACCGGGGTAGCAGCTTGAATGGCACCAGTGACATATAGGGAGGAATTGAAGTGTCAGACATCAAGGCAAGAGCTAGGGGACAGCTTTCTCCCAAACAGAAAGGCAGACAAAGGCCATTGTTCCTTTTCTAAACCTTCCCCCAAAGAGCCAGCAGGCAAGTGCTATATCTGAGATTCCATCCACCTGGCTAACACTGTTTGCCCTGTGCTGGGGATTTCCTGAGGCTCCCCCCAACCACCTTACTTACATGCCCACCCAAGCTATTAACAGTGGCTTTTCCATATGAAATGCTGATCTTGGCTCATACTCCACAGCTCCCTACATTCTCTCAAATAAGCAACAGACAGCCTCAGTGAGCCCTCAGCTGACCTCTTGCCAAGCGGCCCCAGGCCCGGCACCCAGCCTGTGTTCACAGCTTGGCTTCACTGGGAACCTCCAAGTCCAGCAAAAGCAGCGGCCATCTACAGACTGCTTTGTATCTCATGTAGGATGGCCATAGGCAAAACACAGGTCAGGGTGGGCCTTGGCCTGCACCACCCAAGAAACCCGAGAGCCTGTGCACCCAGTGGACAGCTGCAGACCACGTCAGAGCACTATCACCCCGCCCCTGCACAGCTGATCCTCCATGGAGGGCAGAGGTTGGTGGTCAGCAGTCACAGCCAATTCTTGCAGCTGACTGGCCTGGGTAAATCCCTTCCATTGACCTGCCAACAGCAATCACAGCTCAATTATAAGAGATGGGGGTACTCAGCCCACACAGAGGGTGAACCTCGAGTACCCAGCTTGGGTGACAGGAGAGGCTGTGCCACTGGACCATATAGGACACCTACTACATTAGTCCATGCTACCAAGAAAAGGAGTCATAGCAGCTCCACCTAACGCACAGAAACAAACAGAGAGGCTACCAAAATGAGAAGACAAAGAAACATGGCTCAAATGAAAGAACAGACCAAAACTCCAAAAAAAAAGAACTAAAACAAAGTAGAGATAAGCAATCTATCACATGCACAGTTCAAAACACTGGTTATAAGAATGCTCAATGAACTTACTGAGGATTTCAGCAGCATAAAAAGGATCCATCAGAAACAGAGGATACACTAATTAAAATAGAGAACAATTTACAGGGAAACAACAGTACAGTGGATAAAGCCTGAGAATCAATTCAATGATTTGGAACATAAGGAAACAAAAAACCACCAATCAGAACAAGAAAAAAGAATCCAAGAAAACAAGAATAGTGTAAGGTTACTCTGGGACAATTTCAAGCATTTCAACATTCACATCATAGGGATGCCCAAAGAAGAGAAAGAGCAATAAACTGGAAATCTGAAAAAATATGAAAGAAAATTTCCCTAATTTGGTGAAGGAAATAGACACGCAAGTCCAGGAAGCATAGAGTCCCAAACAAGATGGATGCAAAGAGGCCCACTCCAAGGCACATCATAATTGAAATGTTAAAGATAGAGAAGGTTAAAAACAGCAAGAGAAAAGAAGTTAGTTACATACAGGGGCGTTCCCATGACACTGTCCACTGATTTCTCAAAAGAAACTTGCTGGCTAGAAGGGATTGGCAAGAAATATTCTGTCATGAAAAGTGGGGACCTATGGCCAAGATTGCTCTACCTAGCAAAAATATCATTTAGAATGAAGGGCAGATAAAGAGCTTCCCAGACAAGAAAAAACTAAAAGAATTCATCATCACCAAATCATTATTATATGAAATGTTAAAAGGACTTATTTAAGAAAAAGGAGATCAAAACTATGAGAAATAAAACGGCAAAAAAATACAAATCTATCCACAATTGAATCTAAAAAACAAACTAAGCAACAAGAAGAAAAGAGACAGAATCATGGATACAGACAGTATTTTGATGGTTGCCAGGTACGTGGGATGTGTACGGTAATGGGTGAAGAGGTGAGGGATTAAGAAATACAGATTGGTAGTTACAGAATAGCCACAGAGATATAAAGTACAGTATAGGAAATGGAGTAGCCAAAAAACTTATACGCATGACCCATGGACATGAACAATGGTGCGGGGACTGCCTGAGCGAGTAGGGGTTGCCAGGTGCAGGGGGAATAGGGGGAAAAAATTGGGACAACTGTAACAGCATGATCAATAAAATATAATGTAAAAGAAAAAGACAACATCTGTTTCTAAGGATTCCAGACAGAAAAATCATAAGGAGAAACAAAGTTGTAAAATAAAATGACGTGTTCAGCACACAGAGTTCCGAGTCTGTTGCTCTTTTAAAAAATTATTTGTTTATAGCATCTTTCACTGTATAAAAAAATACGATAAGGGGTCTTGCGATGTCAGCATCAGTGAAGGAAAGATGAGGGAAGAGGCTGGAGAAGTAGGCAAAGAATTCATCAAATTCATCTGCCTAGAGAACCAGAAAATATTTTTAAGCTGAGTAAAGCCATAAGCAACTTGTACTTTAGAAAGCTCACTCCCATTTACAAAAGTACAGAGGTTGTTTTGGAGGGAAGCAAGACTGGAGACAAGAAGACCAGCTGGAAGACTGCTGCCAGGATCCAGATACAAAATGGTGAGGGACAAAGCTGAAGGCAGACACAGTGAAAATGGAAAGGGGGCAGATATTACTTTCATTTCTTTAAAGACAATTTATGTAGTACTTATTATGTACCTGATACTGTAGTAAGTGCTTTAAAGTACTTATCCATTTAAGCCTCAAAATAACCCTACACAGTAGCTGTATTACCGTCTTTATTTTACAGATGTGGAAAATGAGGCACAGAAAAGTTGATAATTTGCCCAAGATTGCAGAGTGAATAAGCTGTATAAACCAAGATTTGAACCCAGGCAATCTGGTTCCGGAATCTGCACTCTTAATCACTGTACTCTTTTACTTAAATCAAAGAAACAGAATATTTATACTAATTGGGTAAGAGCAGGGATAAGAAGGTGAATGACAGCGCTGTTAACTCACAAACAGTTACTGACAATTACTACATACAACAGAAACTACGGCTTCACACATATCCCATCACTATAATATCACATAAAGTCCTTTTAACATATAGATTTTGTGTGTGTATATAGGTACATAGAGATGTTTGTATGTGAATATATAAATACATGTATGTGTACAAACATATAAACATATATATACACAAACACATAATACATATATACGTAGATGTATATGCTTGTATCTGTATGTATATATGTAAACACACGGTTATAGTCTTTATTTTTCCAATCAGCTCTCTGATACTGAAATGATTTCTTAGTTCTTACCTAGTTATGATGGGATCTGCAGCATGATTTGGGCCCCATCGCCCCAAAAGCCCTCGGCCAACCAATCCTGTCCGTCCTGCAGGATTTCTGGGAGGAAAAAAACCAACTCAATGGGTTCATCTTTTCTAACACAACTGGATATGGCCCAATAAAAGGCAGTAAGATAAATCAAAGAAAAGGGTAGCGCCACCCAAATCCAGTAGCACTATCATATATCTAGCACTGAAAGTACATTATTTCCTTACATTACTATCTTTTTTTTTTTGTAAGCTCTGGGCTTGTTCCAGGAGCAGGATCTCATTTCCAAAGCTGTTCTACAATATAAGAATTCATTTGTTTCCACATATACTCCTAAATATAAACCTTATGGACTCCTAAATCTTGGAGGATAAAATACTCTGCCCCTAATCATCTGTCTCTACAACAGTGATGATTTGTTCAGGATACTCACGCTTCTCTTCACTTTCTCAGCCTCTCTTTCTACTCCACTCTTCTACAACCCTTCCCATCAAAATATTTTTTGTTACATTCTGAAGTCCATTTTTCCTCAGTGGGTTCTGAATTTTTATTATCAGTAATATATATTTTGTAGCATATAATGAGGTAGTAGTAAGATTTCAAGTATATCAAGTACTCACATTTTAAAGAAAACAATTTTATATAAAAATGCCAATTTGCTATTTAACCTAATGCCAGAACCCAATTATTAAAAAGTCTGTCAGGAAAACATAAAACTCATACCTGAATGTTTTCTTTCAATCAATATTCATTAAATGTTCAACTTTCATCATTATGTGTCAGTAAAATGCCCCAATCTGCAATCTTACCTATTTAACATTACATCTTTTGTCTTCCCAGTATGTAAAAGTAAATTGCCAAATTTTTTCTTTCAGCCATCGCTTTTTATTCTGGTCTCCCACATCACTATTATTAAAGTTAAATGAATTCTTATATTGTTTTGTACTGGACTTAGGAATATTTCAGCACTGCAGAATTGTATACCTGAAACCTATATAATTTTATTAACCAATGTCACCTCAGTAAATTCAATTTAAAAAAAAAAGAAATATTTAAGCAAGACTTTCACATAAAGACAGAAACACAAGACCAGACACTTCACCAGGTGGCAATAATGCTACTTTTGAAATTCACGGGAGTGGAAGGGTGGCCAATAACTACCTTTCGTTCCATGTAACCACATAACCCTGAACACAAATGATCAAAGCCAATATTGAGACAGAATGTTAGCCCCTAGCTGGGTGGCTCAGTTGGTTGGAGGATCATCACATATATCAAAGTTACAGGTTCAGTTCTCGGTCAGGGCACAAACCAGGTTGTGGACTTGCCCCCCCCAGTCAGAGTGCATATGGGAGGCAACTTGATCAATGTTTCTCTCTTGATCAATGGTTTCTCTCTCACACCGGGCGGGGGGGGGTGGGTGTCTCTCCCTCCCTCTCTCTCTCTCTCCCCCCTGCCATCTCCTCCCTGCCCCATCCTTTCTCCCTAAAAATCAATAAACATATCCCCAGGTGAAGAGTAGAAAATAATAATAAAAATTTTTTAAAGAGAATGTTCGTTTTAGAGATGTCTACACCTGTAACTTGTAAACTAGAGGTTTTGAAGATGACATATAGACTATCCTATAGCCTGAGAAGCAGAGAAAGTTGTTTGCAGAGATGGAGAAATGAAGGCAACATATAAAGAAAAGCAGTGATAAAGGAGAGACAGTCCTGATGGATTTCCAATTTCATTCTTTCCTAAAGTTAGCTAAATTTCTGTTTTGGGCTCCTTGAGATGATCCTAGAGCCCTACAGTGCAGATAAACCCCACTCTTTGGTTTAGGCAAACTAGAGTTGGTTTCTGTTAGTCCAAGAGTCTGGACTACGCAACATGCTATCTTGCCTTTAGGGCCTATCCTTTTATATTTGTATATATCTTTTAATATATTTTATCAATAAAAGAACCTAAGAAATAAGTCAAATACAATGACAGTCTGACTTAAAAAGATGAAATAACAAAGAAAGGCCAATAAGTTATCAACAAAGAAAGAATTTAGCAAAACTAAGGGACCAGGTTGCAGTGAGATCAGCCCTACATCCTTGTCCTGGAGGAACGAAGAATACAAACTGCAACATTTTTACAAGGTAAGAACCATGATGACAAATCTGTGGGCCTTCCATTGGTTTATTGGGGGCATACTAATTTTTACGTTTCTTCCAAACTTTTATAATGTCTTCTTTAGGGAAAATGGAAATTTTTGGAGGTATGTAAAAAAATCATTTTTAAAAGTATAGAAAGATTCTTGATATTACATTATTGGGTTATTTTTATTTTTACTCTTACATTTGGATAATTTTTGTGTAAGGCATTATCACATTTAATCAATAACTACTTAACATACAATTTTCAATCCTTTCTCTGTTAACTTATTCAATTAATTGTATCCACCTTCAAGGTGGGGTTACAAAAAGATGCATTCAAATCCTGCCTCTGCCACTTATGAAATATATGCAAATTGCTCACATTCTATCTGTAAATGGAACTAGAGATATCTACCCACAATTATTGTGGTGATTTAATTACATCACATATATAAATACTTGTGCACAATGTCTGGCACAAACAAGCACTCAGTAAATGTTAAATGTATTTTCCACCTTTTGAAGATCCGTCATTGTAAGATGTTCTATTCCCAGTACCTACCTAGGTCTTCCATTTTCAATCTCATACAGGCCATTCTGGCTCTTTCTCTCAACATGCCCATCTTTTTCATTAAACTTGGGAGAAAAGGTACTTTCACTGAAATGAGAATACCAATAGAAAATAAGAAATAATGGTCCAAAACTACCAACAGTTTGATAACGTCAGTCAATCTGTTTTTTGTAATAAGTACTATCCCTGAAACTAAAAATTTTAAGGCTTAGTTTTGATTTGTAAATCCATTTTACTCCTTCAAAACAGTTTCTGAGAAAAAGATCTGCTAACCAAAACACCTTATCATATAAAGATAGGTGCATAACCCCTGTGGAAAGACATAATGGCAGGAGAACTGGACTTCCTCCCACATACTACAAAGAGTTCATATTATTAGCAAGAAGAAATTGTCTATGGGCAAATTATGGCAACTATTAGTTTTTATGCAGTTCCAAAAATAAGATTCCTTCTGATATCTTGATGTTTCTACTCTCTCAAAGTAATTTTAATTTCTTCAAATGTACATTGATTATAATTTATCAAAGTAAACCCACAAAACAGTGAATTCACCCCACAAACTTCATAATAAATACAATGTAAGTTAAAACAGATAGGATTTGTTGAAAATGTTCTAGATCTTAATCTAGAACTAGGTATTAGTTATGTTTAAATACAGCTATATAAACATAAAATTTTACTTGACTACACCTGCACACTTAAGAAATATGCACTTTACTGCATTTATGTCAGACCTCAATAAAAATATTTTTAAAACAGATATAAACTACTTTCCTCACCATTATGAAATCACTGACTTAACTGCACTGTCAGGGAATAAAGAGTTGTATAGTACTGGGTAGTTCATGGATAATTCTGATACAAGTTTCACTTTTTTCTTGCTTTAACTCCAGAAAGTCAGCTCAGAAATATCTGTGCTCTGTTTTGGGAATAACTTCCAATTTGAACAATCCATACATTCTCTCAAGACTTCTAACCAACCTTCCATCTAACACACAAATAAAAAGAATTAAATGGGTAAAGTTATGAAATTATAAAACCAGAATTACAATGCTCTTGGAAATCCAGAAATTCACCATTAAAATAAAAAAGCACAAACTTAATTAAAATTAAAGCATTAATGTTGTAATAAAGCTTGATTTAGATGGTGACATATTTACATGTTAAAAAACTGAATGAAAGATAAGAAAATGTATTCTATCCTCTATTTACTCTATATAGTACCCCTGCCAATGTCATTAATTTTATTTGTGCATAATGTGTATTTATAATGTATATATAAATATATACATCCTCTAAAATGGGGAAATGGAACTTTAAAAGTTCCTTATGAACTTTTAAACAAAAAGTTCCTTATGAACAGGTTAGCCTCATGATTAATTAATAATCCAAGTACTACCACTAAGTTACAAACACATCTCTAGATAAAATAAGGACACTGTGGGCCAAAACACCCATGAAAGATGTTCTATTGATAACCCAGACAAAACAAATGAAAACAGATACCACTTGTGATTTCAAAACATAAGGAACTCCATAGCAAAATAAATATACATATTTGGAATGATCATCCTAAAACCCCAAAAAGAATAAAAGAACAGGGACTATCTAGCTTTGGTAAAGTTCAAGCAAATATGTAAACTAAGTTATAACAAAATCAAGTGTTAGATAAAAATATTTCAGCTGTCAAAATAATGATTTACAAACACAACCATTATTTTCTCTAAAAGTCTTACACCCAACTAATGCCAATAATTTGCTCACCTGATCTGAGGATCTGCCCACCTAGGTCCAGCCAAGACAGAGAGTGCAGTGTATTCCACAGGATTATAGTCTTGCCACTCAACAAGCCAGCCTACTTTCTCATTAGGAACCTGGCTGCGTTGAACTTTGGAACCTGGGTAAGGAGATGTCCTAGCCTTGTTGTGAGAATTCTCTTTGGCACCATTAGAAGCAGACATGATGTTGGAGCTAAGATGAAATTCACAGGATGAAAATGAGTTTCTGGGAGGGGGGAAAAAAAAGAACATCTTAAATAAGTACCAAAAAAGAAAAAAGAAAATAAACTAATTCAAAACCAAATACATGCTTTTCCATTTCAAAGACTTAAAATTCAGAAAATTCAAATTTGATGCATATTAATATACAGCCCCAATATTTGTGAAAGATTATTTTCAAATACGAAAATTTGTAAAATACTGCTAAAACTTATTAATAGGAACCTATAATAAATTTATTTTATTTGAGGAAAAAAGACAGAAGTTTAACTTTGATTAGCACAAAAGGGGAAGGAAAGTTTATGAAAATTCAACCATAAAAATAAATGTAAAAGAAGACTGTTTAAGTCTACATGAACGAATATATTTCTACAGCTTAACATACATATATAAAATGTATGGCAAAAATAGCACAAAGGAAGAATAACTGGAAAATAGAAATATACTGTTATAAGGGTCTTATATTGTACATGAAGTAATGTAAAGTCAGGCTGCAATAAATATACAAACTCTAGAGTAAAATTAAGAATAAATCTGAAATAATTAGATAACAGACAAAAAAACACAAACCTGAACCTTAACCTTTATCTCACAGCATTAACAAAAATTTTTCATGTCTCCTCCTCATTATTCTTAAATAAAGACTAAAATTCCTAATGCCCCTAAATTAGGACACCCAGAGTGGAAAAGGGAATTCTGAGAACATGGTAAACTGATGACAGTTCCCTTCCCCTGCTCTCTCAATACCTATTTGCCCTTCTTGAAACAAACAGTCAATGGAACAAACACCAACTTGATGGGCTGGTGAAATAAGTCAACATCATGGGTCTCCTGATATCATACAGTGAGAAATACAGTCGTCACTTCTAAGGCATCCTTACAAGAATCTAGACCAGAGTCTAGACATAAGAAACTATAGAACATACCAACGTAAAGGACATCATATAGAATAAAAATCTTTACTCTCTAAATTGGCAAGGTTATGAAAGATAAAGTTAGACAAACTCTTACGCTAAAGAGATATGAAAATATCACTAAGTGCAATCAATGACCCTGGATCAGTTCTTGAACCATAAAGGAAAATAAAATTTCAGGACAAGTGGTGAAACTTGAATAGGGTTGTATAAAAAATTTTTAAAGGTGATACAAAAACCTTATTTATTTACTTCCAACAAAGAAAAGCTTAGGACCATGTAGTTTCACTGGTAAATTCTATTATATGTTTAAAAGAGAATCAACATTCCTCAAACTCTTCTGAATACTGAAGAAGGGGAAATACCTCCAAATTCTAGGTAGCCAACATTATTAACTTGATACCAAATCTAGACAGAGACACAACCAGAATAGTACAGACCAATATCCCTGATGCATATCAATGCAAAAATCCTCCACAAAATAGCAGCAAAGAGTAGTCCACAATACATTAAAAGGATTATACACCATGACTAAATGGGATTTATTCCTGGGATGCAAGGTAGTTTAACATACAAAAACTAACCAATTTAATACACCACTTAAACAGAATGAAAAAAAGAAGTGACCATCTCAATTGATGCAAAAAGTCTTGGTCAAAATTCAACACCTTTTCATGATAAACACATTCAACAAACTAAGAATAAAAGGAAACTAACTTCATATATGAAGAGTCCACAGATTTTTGATTTGATGATCAAAGTCTGAAAGCTTTTCCTCTAAGATCAGGAAGAAGGGAGTTCAAATAGACAAAACAATCTTGAAAAAGAAAAACAAAGTTGGAGGTCTCTCAATTCTTGTTTTAAAAACTTACTACAAAGCTACAGGAATCCTAACAGTGTAGTATTGGCATAAAGACAGACATATGGACCAATGGAATAGAACAGAAAGCCCAGACACAAACCCTAACATACATGGTCATGATTTTTTTACAGGGATGCCAATACCATTCAATGGGGAAAGAGAGTCTTTTCAGCAAATAGTGCTGGGAAAATTCAATATCCACATGCAAATGGTTGAAGACAGACCCTTACTTGACAGCATATACAAACATTAACCCAAAATGGATCAAAAATCCAGACATAAGACCTGAAAATATAACTCTTAAAAAAAAAAATACAAGGAAAATTTCATGACATTTTTTCAAAGAATACATACAGATGGATAACATATACATGAAAGATACTCAACATCACTAATCAGGGAAATGCAAATCAAAATCAAATGAGATATCACCTCACTCCTGTCAGAATGGCTATTATCAAAAACACAAGAAATAACAAGTGTTGGCAAGGATGTGGGGAAAAGGGAATCCTTGTGCGTTGTTAGTGGAAATTACAGTATGATCCAGCAATTTCACATCTAGGTATTTACGCTAATTTGAAAAGATATATCCAACCCCATGTTCATTGCAGCATTATTGCATTATTTACAATAGCCAAGATATGGAAACAACCTAAGTGTCTATCGATGGATAAATGGATAAAGAAAATATTCCACACACAATGGATTATTATTCAGCCATCAAAAATGAAATCTTGCCATTTGCCATAACATGGATAGACTTTAAGGGCATTATGCTAAAATAAGTCAAACAGAAAAAGACAAATACCCTATGATCTCACTTACATGTGAAATCTAGAAGAAGAAAAAAACCCAACCTCATATAGAGAACAGACTGGTAGTTGCCAGAGGTGAGATTGGGGGGTCGCGGCTGGGGGCGGGCGTTGCAAAATGAGTAAAAGGAGTCATAAGGTATAAACTTTCAGCTATAAAATAAATAAGCCATGAGAATGTAATGTACAGCTTGGACACTACAGTGAATAATACTGCATTGCATATTTGAAAGTTGCTAGAAGAGTAAATCCTGAAAGTGCCTATCACAAGAAAAAATATCCTGTAACTGTGTATGGGTGACAGATGTTAAACCAGACTTGTGATGATCACTGTGCAATATATACAGATATTGAGTCACGTTGTACACCTAAAAGTGGTATGTCAATTATACGTCAATAAAAATACAATGCAAATTTATTATAATTCTGTAGGTTAGGAGTCAGATACAGGTCTCACTGGGTTAAAATCAACATGTCATGTTGACAGCGCTGCATTCTTTCTAAAGGTTCTAGAGAAGAATTCATTTCTCTGCCTTGCCCAGCTTCTAGCGGCCACCCCCATTCTGTGGCTCATGTTTCCCCCTCCTTCTCCTCAAAGCCAGCAACAACCAAATCTCTGACCATTTTTCAGTAGTTACAGCCCTCTCTGACCACAGCTGAGAACATTGCTCCATTTTTAAAGACTCGTGATTAAATTGGGCCGACCTAGATAATCCAGGACGCCTTCCTCTTCTCACAGTCCTTAATCCCAATTACACCTGTGAAGTCTCCTTTGCCACCTACAGCAACATATGCATAGGCTTAAGGAATTAAAATGTGGGCATCTGTGGGGAGCCACTATTCTGTCTACTACAAATGTCTACACTATTTATTATATGAGACTGAGAAAAATTGAGAAGGATCTGTATCATGTTCAAAACATGGATTAGAGAATATAGTGCAGATATGGGAAGAAGGGAAAGGGAAGAGGTGAGGAAAAGGGGAGGGAGAAGGAAAAGGAGAAGGGGGAAGATGACAGGGGAGATGGGAAAGGTGAGTGGCACAGAAGGGGAGAAGGGGAGAGGAAAGGGAAGAGGGTTGGAAGGAGACAAGAAACAGAAGAAAAAGAGAGAAGCAAGCAAAAAAAAAAAATACACTAAATCCAAGGATGTATGAATGACCATATTTGTCTATTTGATCAATTTATGTAGTTTATTTGCATGAAACTTCCTTTAAAAAATATTGAAATTCTTAACCTGACCTACAATAACTCCCTATCACACTCCTCACCCCTTTGTGATTTTGCCACGCTGACCTGTCATTGCATAAAAACTTCCATGTTCCCTCTCAATATGGGAAGCCACATGCTGTGCTTTCTGCCTGCACCCCATTAACATCCTCTTCCACCTAGGTCCTTTACACCCATCCCTCCTGTCAGTTCAAAGTTCACTTCCTCAGGACAGTCTTCCTCCCTAACTCCCTAGGAGAAATATGTACCACCTGCTATCAGATATGCTATCAGAACTGTTATACTTTTCATGGAATTACCACGTGATTTTACATTTATTAGGGTGCCACATGATTTTAAGTAAATGGAGAACAGGGAGCATGTCTACTGTAGTTCAACATAACATCCTATGATGTGCCTGGCATAATGCCTGGCACATCATAGGTTCAGGAGGTCCTTCCCTGAAAGTAACAGAAAAAGGCCATGTACGTAGGGACCAAAATTTCAATTTAATTAGTGAAAAGGAGTTAGTAAAGGAGTTTAAAAAATGACATTTAAAATTACAAAAATAAATTCTACATTAGTTAAATAAGCTAGGTTATAACCAAATACATATATACATATATATACATTGTCTAACGAAGAATTACTGAAAACACTTCGTTTTCAACAAACTTGTATAACTGCATAATACAGCAACTTTCACTTTTCTTTTTACCTTCACAGATCACAGGGGATAATTCTGACAAAAACATTAGAAGCCTTCATCAAAACCTTTCCAAGACCTCCCTTAATCCTTTGACACTCAAATCATTCATTCTTGAAGCACTAGCCCATCTCGGCCCTGTCAACCTTTTTCCATGTGCCTGTCTCTGTGAATTGAAGAAAAGTAGCCAGAAAAGTAGCCAAAGTTCACGGCACTTTTTTTTAAGACAGACTTTATTTTTTAGAGCAGATGTAAGACTATTTTTTAGGGCAGATATAAGTTCACAGCCAAATTGAGTGGAATGCCCAGAGTTCCCATACACCCCCAACCCTATCCCAATGCACCCGGAGCCTCCCCCACTATCAACATGCCCTACCAGAGAGGTATATTTATTTTGATAGATGCACCTACATTAACACATCATTATCACCCAAAGTCCATAGTTTACATTAAGATTTACTCTTGGTGTTATACATCCCAGGTAATGATAATGTATCAGCCATTCTAGTACCATACAGAGTAGTTTCACTGCCCTAAAAAATCTTGAGCTCTACCAGTACATTCCTACCTGCCCCCCAACCCCTGGCAGACATGAATATTTCTATTGTCTTCACTTTGCCTTTTCCAGATGTCATATGGTTGAAATTATATGTAGCCTTTTTTGATGGGTTAGTTTCATTTAGTAATATGCACCTAAGCTTCCTCTATGTCTTTTAATGGCTTAATAGCTCATTTTGGGGGTGGGGGGGTGAACAATATTCCATTGTCCAGGTATACCAGTTTATTTATCCATACATCTACTGAAGACCATGTTGGTTGCTTCCAAGCTCCAGCAATTATGAATAAAGCAGCTATAAACATCAGTGTGTAAATTTTTTGTGGACACTAAGTTTTCAATTCTGTAAATACCAAAGGAGGCAACTGCTGGATCATTATGATGTCTTGTGAGAAACTGCTAAACTGTCTTTTCTAATTCTTAACTGATTTAATTCTTTCCTATTCTTGTTTGTCAATACCTTTATGTGGAAGTCAAGCTGTTCCCTCTTATCCTACTTAAAGACTTTGAAACAACTGCTACTTTATTTGGCACTCAGTTTGCATCTTTAAAGTATTGTCAAACACCCAAAAATCAGAAGCCTGATGGATAAAAAAAGTTAATAACCCTAGAGGGGCTCTTCAAAATATAAGGTAGGAGAATGGTATTTGACTTGTAACTGATTTTATTAAAAGTAGTAGAGTTAGTGTTTTCATATGATGGTGATTTTTGCTTGACTAAGTTGCTGTAGCTTTGGAAATCCAATGAACACTCAAAATAAGTCCTTCATCACACATCCTAAACCCACACTCAATAAAAATAAGCATAAATGCAATATATGTATACAAATAGACTTTAGGTATGTATGTTCATAAAAGGAAAATTTTATATATGGCACCTTAGTCTCTAACTGAATTCTATTATAAAAGTGGAGTTATTTTTCATGGTTTAGGAGTAGGGTAAGAAAAGTCAAGAGTATTAGTAATATACCCAACAGGAAACACTGATCTTGTTCCACTCTAGCCTAACCAAATACCAAAAATGTTTTTTAAGAATGAGGCTCCTTGTTCCGTGTGGTTTGGCAATAAGCATGTGCAATTCCACAAATCTGCTACCCACTCTGACAATATAAACTTACACACCTGATTGTTTATTTTCAAAAAAAAAATTAATTTTGCCAAAAAAAAGCAATACCTCAAAAACTATGTATCTTACCACATTAAGAAGTACTTATATCTGCTGTTTTTATCTGCTGCTTAAATGTGAAACAGTGAAAGAGATCAAAACAAGAATATATATAATATACACACATACAGCCTAGGTTCTTTTATTGGATTACTGAATAAAATTGGATTACAAAAAAAAATATTTGACCATGCCAATGGGAATTAAGTAGCTGATAAAGTTCACTTTACAAAGCAAAAACCAGTTCCTAAAACAAACTTGAAGAAATGCAGTATGGCAAATTTGCAATACTAATATCTAAATGTGTATAATACATGCTATGTGCAAGATACTGTTCTTATGCTACGTTAACTCATTTGATCCTCACAACTCTAACCTTAGGTCTTGTCCTTACTTTAGAAATAAGACCACTAAGGCCAAGAGAGGATTATATTTATCAAGGTCACAAAACTGATAGCAGAATGAGGATCCAATCCCAGGCAAGCTGGGTCCAAATTCCAGTCTCTTAAGATTACTCTGTACTAACTCAATTTCATTTTTAGCTCGCACATATACTCTTATGTGTTCACAGGAAAAAAAATAAACACCATTCCCCACATATTGCTGATAGATCCTGATGGAAAATTTGGAAGCATTCACTATATATTTACATACTATCATTTTTTTCCTAGGAAATAGGCATTTGCACCTTTCTAGTCAAATCACAAAAACAAACTGCAAAACTGACTTTCTGGATTTACCCAAATAATTAAAAGGCAGCAAAATTCTTAATAATAAATTTATTTTGCCTCTTCCAGGACACCTTGCGATATAATACACCAGATAGTCAACACACAGTTGTTGGCTTAACTTTTTCTTCTAAGCCAGTACGCAGTCATTGGTTTTAGAGATACCCTGCTTCACCTAGGGTTCCCAGCATTATAAAAATGAAGAATAACTGCCAAGCCATTTTTACACTGTTCTAGCGGCATCTATCAGAAACAGCATTAGTGACTTCCAGAGAGCACAGATGTTTAGTCCTGTCCTCCCCAAATCCCACTGAAGAGACAGATGTATAAAAGGCAACATCCACAGCAAGTGAGAGAAAATGCCATCAGTAAATGAGAGGTTTGAACCAATTTCAGAAAGGTAGAAAGTAGGTGGAATCACATTGACCTTCAAACCAAAATAGAGCAAGTTATATTTGAGAATATGCACAAAGGGGTGAAGAGATGCCATTCCTACAAGAGGACCCTGAGAGGTTTCGAGCTTGAATAAGTGGGCCCAAATGTCCTAAATGGACAGTAGGGCAGTAACCATGGAAATCAGTCCTCCTCCCTCCCCAACTTTAAACAAAAAGTTAGGAACAGTTATGTATGCCCTCAGGATAAAGCCAAAAGTTTAAGAAAATGAAGAACTAGGTTTTCTATTGTGAATACTGGTGTTAGAGAACGCAATAGAAACTTAGGCTTAGTATCTCTACAATTCACACTGAGGAAGTAAAGTTAAGGCAACTATGCTCAGCAAAGAAGTTGCTCCTCCAGTGTAAACCCTGGGGAAAAGGGGTCCCAGACTGTCCACCTGCTCACACACTCTACTGAAACCTTTCAGTCCACGCGCGCTGGTATATGGTGCCAATCCTCAATCAGCCGTCCCATTTAGAGAAAATAAGGCTTATTATCTACACTAATCAGGGTATAAATGGATAATCAGTGTCCACCAGATGTCTGGGAAAAAAACTGAAGGAAAAAGGACCAAAAAGTCACAAAACGACTGACCCAAAAGAGACAGTTCAGGAAACAGAAGGTAATATTTTATTCCACGATCATTTTTATAGATTCAAAAGACCTTTTATGTCCATAAAATAAGAAAAGGCTGCTATTAAAGAGAACAATTAGAGAAAGAAAACGTTCTTGTCAAAATTTACAATTCCATAGAAAAGATGGCTGACGGCACAGGTTTTAAGTTTGAATGAGTACTTCAGTAGCCATTGTGTTTCCTGAAAAACGGACTCAGAGAATAAAAACCTGAAAAGAGGAAAATAAAAGTAGGAGGCAATGTGAGATACAATTACCGTAATTCCTAAATTTACCCAGGGTTGATAAATCCAGAAAGAGAGGTTGATAATAAGTACATTATCTACACTGAGGTTCACAGGAAGAATGACAACTTACTTTTCATTTTACACCATTTATACTGTACACATCTTAAAACTATGTACATGTATTGATTTTAATAGTGTTTTAAGTATTGACCAGAAAAAAAATGGCATGGTATATATAACACCACACCCAATCAAGTGCTACTTAAACTCTCTGGAGACAATAATGTTGGTGGCTTAGGGAGCGTGGCAAATGTCACTATGAGAGATCAAGAAAGGTCACCATCACTAGTTTTCTTCAAAGGGAAAATAAAACATTCTGAGCCTTTTTGAAAGCGCGTACGTTTATGGCTACAAACATCCCAGACGCAAGCAAAGCCTATAAAATCCGCCGGACAGGAAGCTAGTTCCCACCCCCAACCGGACTAAAGACTAAGCAGGAGCCAGCATTAGGAGGGGCAATACCTGCACTCCGGGACGCTGAGAAAGCCCGCGGACTTAACAGTCACAGAGGCCAAGGCCACAGAGAGCGACACGGTGGCTAAAGTCTTTCCCAGGATGCGTCCGGCCATCAGCGCCCCGCGGACAGCTTCACGCAGCCTGGTCGCTCTTAGCTTGGGCCGCCGCCTCCGCCCGCCCCACAGCACCGGGCCCCGGGGATCTAGCGGGCACTAGGGCCGGGCTGCCCTCCCATTCCCAAGAGGGAGTAGCTAGGTCTAATCTCATAAACACACGGACCAGGACCTCTCCCAAAATAACAGTCCAGAGCCTTCCCCAGTGCGAAGAAGTAGCCGGATAAGGGCCGTCGAAGCTCCCAACCCCAGCAGCCGCGGAAAAAGAGATGCGGGATCGAGGCGTCTCCCGTGCGTGACGGTGCTTTACGACTGCGCCGCAAAGCAAAGACCGTACGGGCCTTGTAGCGCGTGCGTTTTTCGACCTCGCAGTCTGCGCAGGCGTTCTTGGGGCGAATTGGAAGGCAACAGCGAGAGTACAAAAAGGAAATGGAAGGAGGAAGGCGAAAGGAGGGGAGGAGTTCGGTAGAAGTTTGTTCCCTTCTTATATTAAGTAAGAACGGTTACAAACAGTTTGTGTGCTGATGCGAACCTCGCGTTTCCGGGTCATATCTGAGTGAGTGACTGCAAGAAAAGGAGTAGGCAAGAGACACAATCAGCAGAGCTGACGTTTTCTGTTCCTTCTTTACCAAATTTGCTTGGAGCTGCAACATTTCACAAGGCTTTGCCTGGTGTGGCCCTGACAAACCGGTGAAGGAGAATACCAGCTGTGAATCAGACGCACAGCCTGGAGTAGGAACAAAGGGACAAAACCCAAAGAACTCCAGGCAAAAATTACCCAAACTGCCAGACTGGAATTTGGGAATCTAGACTGTCCAAAACAGTAATATTTATCTTATTACCATGGCAAGTATTTAACTTTTAAGTACATAATGCAGTGTTACAGTGGTGTGTTTTAGACACAGACATTATGACTTTAACCATTTTAAAACCCAGATTAACCAAATTTTAAGAAGTACAGTTCCGAAGACTGCAGAACTCTGGTCATACAAGGACTCCATCTGAACCACTGCACCAGGAGACTTGACCAAACTACCAAAGCTTGTAGCAGTTTTAAGGCTTTGTCCCTAGGGTGATTCCAAAAGCCGCACCTCTCCCACTCCCGTTTATAATACTAGCCTGAAAAAGCTCAACACTGTCAGAATTTGTTTATTGCAAGCAAAACCTGGTGATAGGCAAATAAGCCTTAGAAAGCTCCCAATTATAAATCCTTTCTCTTCCTTTGGAGATGTAAATGTACCGACCAAAACTGTTTTCTCAAAGACTTTAGAGCCCCTTTCTTTGAAATGCAAATATTCAGGGGTACATTCTCTGTGCTAGCACCCAGTTCCTGTGGAAGCATAAGGTCCTAACTTCTGTGGGCGCCTTTCTTCAACTTGCACTATTGCCTTCTGCCATAAACTCAGATATTTGTTCCCTGGCCAGGTACCTCAGTTGGTTAGAGCACCATCCGCAAACTCCAAGTTTCAATCCCCATCAGGGCACATACAAGGATTGGTGTCTGTCTGTCTGTCTGTCTGTCTCTTTCTCCCCTCCCCCACCCCACCCCTTTTTTAAAAAAAAGACAGAAATTTGTTTCTTCTCCATGTAAATGAAAAGGGGCCACATACTAAACCTAACAAGCTCAGGGGAGGCCTGCGTGGTGGCCCAATAAACTCAGAGACCAAAGTAAACACATAGGATGACCTGAAATTAAAACTTTCTAACTAAAAGCAGTTCATGGCAGGTAGCCTTGTTCTAGGCTAGAACCTTCCCTGACAAAGGTCCATCTTTACCATAATTGAGCCTGTTAACATACCTTTGGAGTATCATAGTAACTTCCTTTTTTCTAACTCCTCAAAGCATAACCACCAGACCAAAGACCACAAATTTCCTAGTTGTTATTGTTATTATGTTAATTGTTTACTGTTAATTATCCTATACCCACAATGTAAAAGCAGTATGTGTCTAGTCATTTTACTTTTTATGCAGTGTCAGAGATTTCCCTGCTTTGCTTTCTCCAGCCTCCCTACTCCATCACCAATGGATTTCATGTAACTCACACCTCCTCCTTTGATTCTAATTAATATAATAAGTGGTAAAAGTGCCATTTTCTGGAGCATTTTCTCAATCTGTTGAGATTTTGCTTCCTGGCAATTATCATCAGTTTGACTCAAACAACCTTTTAAAAATGCTCACAGGTTTGGACATTTCTTACATTGACATCTATCGAGCACTGATTAAACACCATATGGCCTAGTCACATGGATCACCCACCCACCCCCTTACCACCCCTCAGTGCCTTTTCTTTAGCACATGCCACCCTTTTAAAATGGCCTCCAGCCTTCTGTTTCAGGGAAGTTGAATTCAGTTCATGCAGTAGTATTGCTGAATAAAATGTGTCTGTACAGCTTTACCTAAGGTCCAGCTTTAACTTTAACAGTTCTTTCGGGTAGTGAAGCACAATTGCTAAAATGTGCTTGCTTTATTAAAAAACCAAACAAACACACAACCTCTAGATTTGGCTTCCCCTGGTCAGATAAATTTTGTTCTCCATGTTGTCAACAGCCAAACACTTCTGCTTCAACTGGGAAGGTATCGGCAGGTTCTGTTTAAAATTCTGGCTCATTTTAAATCTGCTGATAAGTTAGTCGTTAGAGAGGAGAAGAGTAGGGCAGTGAGTCACAAAACCCCTGATCAAAGAATGGGAGAAAGAGGAAGGAGTTCTCATGGGAAGTTCTTTGAGCCATAGTGTTCTACCTCTACATTCCTTAAGGGAGGTTGGAGAGGACTTAGATTAAAGACCCACCACTCTGCAAAGAAAACCAATTCCATGGCTGTGGGATTGCACCAGTTCAGACAACTGGGCCTCCCGGATTCCTCCCCTCAGGAACTGTACTCCCAGGTAAGGTAGAATTTAAGAGTGTATGCTGCAGGCCACTCTTGGGCAGAACCTAAATGCCATCTCAGATATTTACTGTTTCATATAACTGTCCATTTACCCACATCCCAAATTAAATGGGTGTCATCGGAACTTACGTGAAAGCTTTTGTTTTATTTTTTGATTTAGAAACCACATACCAATTTTAAGGGCATATCATAATAGTTGGTGAGACAAGCAAAAGATGCTGAGAAATAAATATTTGTAAATAGGAAAGCAGTGTGTGGGATTACTGGAATTAATAGATATACTAAAAATAAGAGTAACTAAGGATTCCAACCTTTTCCCCCTTTTCCCATTTATTTCATGATGCAACAAATACTCACTGATTACTTACTATTTACCAAGCATTGCCCTCAGTGTCCGGAACACAGTTGTGAACAAGATGAACAAGGTCCTGCTCTCACAAAGCTTACTTTCTAGGGGAGGGTAATCAACTATAAATAAGTATAATAGGAATTGCAGATTAGGAGAAGTGCTGTGAAGGAAATAGACAACTTTCTGTGGAAAAGAATAACTGAAGGAGGAGTGACTATTTTGGATTATATGGGAAGGGTGTCAGAGAAGGCTTTTCTGGAAAGGTCGCATTTGAGAGATACCTAAAGACATGAAGCTGCCAGCCACTGGAAAGCTGTATTCCAGGCAAAGGGGACTATGAGTGCAAAATCTCTAATGTAGAAAAGAGCTTGGCCATAATCAAGGAACAGAAAGGTCAATGTGTGTAAAACACAGTGTCGCAAAAAAATTGGGGGAATCCTGATCTACGATAATGCACGGTGGACACAGTTCACTGCTTCCCAATACCAATGTACCCATTCTCCCTTCTTCTATGTCATATGTAGAAATGTGTCCACTCTCTGTGGTCCCTAAAGCTAAAGGTACCATATGACCCTACCTGGCCACCCTGACATGAAAGTAGAAGCCTACTTGTGTCGATCTCTAGGAAGGCTATTATTTTTCTGGTGAAAAGAGATTGGTTTATTTGGCATAAACTGTTAACTCTTTGCCATTCCCCCTACCTCCTTTATTTCTTCTTGAAATGAGGGCACAATTCCTAGAGAAGGACCAAACATATTGAGACCATAAAGACACATATGGATGGCAGAATAGAGTGCAAGAGGGAGCCACCAAACTTCATTCCTCACAACGTAGAGAGATAGATATTCTAAAAGCTGGATCTGGATAAACAGCAACAATGGGGCAGGGGTTAGAATAGAAAGTTAGGTTAACTACTGTAGATTCTGAACACTCCCCTTTGCTATAGTCATCTCTGTTCTTTCGCATAATCCTCTGGGTCAGAAGTAACCAGCTTCCTTCTTTCTGTTTCTTTATGGCAAGGATATTGTTTACATCTTTTTTGTTATTTTAGTCATGGGAGACATCATACCAACCAGCTGTGTTTCTTAAGCTAATGCCTGTTGAAGGACATTTTAAAACCCTGTTTTCAGTTAACAAAGGCTGGCTTTCAAGATTAATCCTGTACTAGAGACTCAGAATTCCCATTTGACAGTCACTTCTTTGTTCTAATTCATATCTCTTCTTCCCCCCTGAAACACTGAAACCATCATGTCAATGGATGGGGTATCCCAGAGCAATAAGATACATAGAATGTCCAAAAAATCTAAAAATATTTCAAAAATATTATCCTCATAATATTTTTATTTTGGTCATGTGATCTGGGCAAATTATTTAATTTCCCTATGCCTGTTTCCTCACCTGTAAAATGAGATATGGTACTCAACATCACAGAGCTATGAGAATTAAAGAAGATACCTTTTGTTAATGTCTTACGGAATCATAACAATTATTCTTTTCAAGCATTTAAAAAATGGGAGCTACTATTTGTTATGCACATTACACATATTACCACTTTTAATCCTGATGATAATCCCAAGAGGGCTGATGTAATTGCCCCTACTTTAGAGATGAGGATACAGACTCCAGAAAGGTAAATAACTTGCCTAAGATCACACAGCCTATCTAATAATTTGTAGAGTCAGGTGTATTCATTTCCCAGAGCTGCTGAGACAAATTACAGCAAACTTAGTACTGTAAAACAATAGAAATTTATTTGCTCACAGTTCTGGAGACCAGAATTTGTAATTCAGTTTCTTGTGCCAAATCAAGATGTCATCAGAACCACACATCTTCTGGAGGTTCTTGGGGACGATCCTTTCTTTGCCTCTCCCAGCTTCTGGAGGCTGCTGGCGGATCGTGGCTGTGGCCACAGCTTTTGGCAATATCCCAGATGGTCACACTGCCTTCCCCTTTTCTGTTTGTCTCAATTTTCTTAGGGCAGCTCTTATCTTAAGGATCAGAGCTGACTCTCTCTTATCATTAAGGACTCTTGTGATTTCTTTTAGTGATCA